TGTTTTTATTATTTCCTGGGATGCTGGGGTGGGGGGCAGGGATTGGGGAGGGGGCTTGGGGGCTGGGTGTGGCAGTGATGGGGGGTTTGGCAGCGCAGGTTTCCCACAGGCAGGCAGCGTGCTTCAGCACCAGAGTGAGGGCTAACCATTGGCAGCCAGAGCATCTCTGTGGAGGACCCACCCTCTGGTTGCCTCAGGGCACCCTGCCCCACTTTTTTTTCTCTGCCGGGTTTTTTGACCCCTGGATATCCAGGAGTCTATTTTTTCCCCTGTGCTGCAAATTTACAGCACCGGGAACATTTTCTTGTTCCTGCGTGTGCCTCTTGCAGTGTCTCAAGGGAGTTTGAGACACTGCAAGAGGCACGCGCAGGCTCATCTAGACATGCCCTGAGTCAGATTAAGTATGGCCATTCATAGGTTCCCATATAAAAGAGTTAGATCAAATTATGGTAAGAGCTAAGTTTTAATGAACATTTGCATGTAGGTAAAGAAGTATGAACACAGGAATAGTATGCCATTAAACAGTCACTACGCTTGCAAATGACACTCATTGTGTTCCCTCCTTTCGGAAACTACCAGGAACCAGCCAGAGCAGCATTATGTATAGTTGCATTTGGTGTAGCTTTCATAAAGGCAGTTACTGAGGTCCAGCTGAGCCTGTGTGGTTCTTCATCTTATTGTTTGGTCATGGAAACAGCAAAAGGCACAGCAAACTTTTTCCAATCTGTTTTTGCAAACCCTCCTATAGCATCAACTCATAAAACAGGAGTGCAAAGTATTTCCTTTTATTTATATTGATGTTTTCCTTACTCTGTTATAAAGCAGTTATAACTTACCATGTCTACCTATAAGATTATGTTTTTCTTGTTCTTTTGCAGCTCCTGTTATTTCTTTGCCTCCTCAAGATGTCGAGAATTTCACAGGTAATGACATAATTTTTGGCTGTGAGGTGTCAGCCTATCCTATACCACACCTGGAGTGGAAGAAAAAAGGGAATAAAATGTTTCTGCCAGGAGATGATGCCCACATTTCAGTCCAGGTAGATGCTTATTCCACTCACCATGGTATATATTACCAAATTTGGGGTCAAGGGTGGAGGTTTCACAGGAGTTAACCGTTATTATTGCCTTTTTCCTGTTGTTTCAGTAACCCAGTTTTTCTATACAAAAATAACAAGGTGTAAAACTGTTGTAAAGTCTATGGTGGCTTGATAAGTAGATTCTCAACAAGGGACTTGATAGTATGATTACATATTGGACCTTACAAAAACAGTGCATTAGCAAGTGCTTCATGAGAGAGGACAGTATATCTAGAAGAAACAATAACGCCAAAGTCTTTGTAGTCTTGGCTCTCTTTGAAGCATGTATTCCAGATTCTGTTGTCCTCACCTAGCAAAACTTCTATTGATTTCATTGAAATTTGTGTCTCTATACTGTCTGTACTTATCCATTTCTCAGATTACTAGTAATTACATAGTCATTGCTAGAATAAAAGCCACGCACATGCGCAGACTCTTGATGGTGTGTTCGTGTTTACTCAGGCAAGAGGTGGCCCTCAGAAGAACGGTGTGACAGGCTGGCTGCAAATTCAAGGCCTCAAGAAGTCAGATGAAGGTGTCTACATCTGCCATACAAAAAACAAATATGGTACTACATATGCCTCTGCAAGATTAAAAGTCATTGACGGTAAATTATTTTGATATGAAGGGTCTACAAGTACATGACTGATATTTGATTTCCACACACAGGATTTAGATGCCACATATGGTTACCTACACAGGATATTCAAATCCTCCATTTCTTGGAATGTAAGCTGATGTTTGGGAGCATGAAACAGGCAATTACCCAACAAAGGATGTATTACTATAGTCTGTCAGGTAGCCACTGGGTAGGGACGTGCGCCCTTACATCCTGACATACACCAGTCCCCTCAGGATGAGTGGAACCTGGCTTGCTCAGTGTAGGTGGGGTCCAGAGCTCTCTCTTCCCGCCTGGCATGACTTTAATGATTAAGAAGTATTAATGACTGGGAGGTGGTGACTACCCGCCTCCACCTAGACCAACCATCAAGCTCCACCCGGCTTCCAAGGTTTTGGGAGAAGGGATGGTACCTGAATTAACCAGTCCAAAGCAGCTCTTTCTTTTCTCCTTTTATTTATTATTTTTGCTCTTTTTTTTTTCCATGCAAGCCTGAAGGGTTTTCTTTTAGTCCTGGGGTGGGGGAGAGGAGGAAAAAAAAAAAGGACTGAGTCCCAGATGTCTTCTGGGGCTCTTCAGAGGCTCCTCCATGGCTCTAGGGTTTTACCCTGCGGCTCTGGGGTTCCTTCTCCCAGCTCAGGGCTTCCCCGCTCTTCTTTTCTAATTGCGGCCATGCCTGGCTTAATTGGCGGTGCGCAACCGCTTAATGAGCGTGGGAACTTTCGTCTTCAGCAGAGCAGCTGGGGGGAAGGCTGTCCCTGTCTCTCTTGCACTGGTGGCAAATGATCCACCATTCGCTCCTGCAGTGGGGCCATCGCTGCCTCTTCAGCACCCTCCAAGACGCTTATTCTGGCAGTGGGGCATTCTCCTGGAGTCTTGGGATCCCCAGCTCCGTCCTCCTGCACACCTGCCGTCCAGCCTCTCCCCACTTTTGCCTTGTCTCTGGCCCCCAGATATTGCTTCAGTTGTGGGTTCCCACCAATCTGCCTCACCTGCCAAGGTGGTAAGGGCAGGCGGGTGGATAGGGAGCTCTCACCGCAGCACTGACGCCTCCATGCAATATGGACCACGCTCCTGGCTGGGGGCATGCCCCAGGTGAGTATCGCTCAGGTCCCCACACAGTGCAGGGATGGTCTACATTCCTGCAGATTTAAATTCACAAGAACTGGCCCTTAACAAACCTGCAGTTTGTTACAGTAAATACCCAACTGATAGCTAAGAGTGACGTATTAAGATGTTGGTATCTTAACAGGTCTTTTTAAAAAATATTCAGCTCTAAATAGTTTTAGTCAAAAGTGTTTCTGATATGGACTAAAGAAAAATATGTTAATTGGTTGATATTATGCTATTTTCTTACTATCTCCACTTTTTCTTGAGCATGACAAAAGTCACAGTTCTAAAGTTCACAAGACACAACATTCCATCATCTTGCAAAAAAACCCTTATCTGGTGGGAATTCTGCTCCCAGTTTATTGCTGTAAATGGTTTCATACAGCAAGTATGTAGTCTTTTACTTTTGGAAAAATTGGGACCTGTTGTTGGTTTTTTAGCAGGGTTAGAGACTGAGGTGTAGGAAAGAGATGTAGGAAGTAATCATTCTATTTAGTGCATGCACTTTTATTCTTGGTCCAATTCTGCAGGTTAAGCTTCCTCTGACTCAAATGACAACCGTGTTTACTTGGCATGTCTAGAATTAGTCAATATTGTTCAAATTTGCCTTTTGTTTGGAGTCTGCCTGTGTCCCAGCCACCAGTGAAGGGTTCGGGATTGAGAGTGTGGTCGGGGGGTAGAAAAGTAAGAAAGATTTATTGACTTAACAAAAACACGACTACACGTACTATACTAAGACAGATAATGACAGATGATAATAATTTGCGTCAGCAACTTATTGGAAGTCCCCTCTGATGCCTGATGTATGACAAGTTTCTCTTTCCTCAAAGCTCAGTGAAGTCAGGCATCCCCAATCAGTGCTGTCCAAGAGATAGTGGGAAGGACCCTGGTATTCAGCCCTTGGGCTCCTCGAGATCCATGGGCCCAGTGAATCCAGGCCAACAGCTAATTTGTTGTTCCTTTCACAGAGATGTATCTTCCTTCTAAATGATTTCTGGATGTGCCAACCAATTTATAACTTCTGAGCTATGCTGATAACTTATAGCCATTCAGATTCTTTTTACTTCAACTGTCCTTAGATTGACCAATAGCAGTACAAGCCTTGCATTCTTCTGATAAGGTTAATTTTAACTATGCCACAGGGCCTACCATCACCTCTTCTATAAGACTTTGCTAAATTTACTAGGCCTCATACTACATACAAGGCCTTACTACATTTTAGACTTTAATTAGGCTCTTAGCAACAACATATAGCTTAATATCTGAACAAATGACAGAAAAACACTTGGTCTAATCTTCATAGAGCCTTCAGCAAGCACCTTTATCACACAGACATAATTTTCAGCTGTCACAGCCTAAAACTGGACTTGACCCCCCAAAAATCTATTTGAGGCTCCTATGAGTGCTAGTTGGAGGGGGATGTTGTAGCAAAGTTCAGGTTTCAGGGGCAGCCATGATACCCTTTGGTGACCACACAAACTCTGCTGTTTCAGCTCCAGAGTACTTTCCGCTTCTTGCTTGCTTCCCACACCTTAATATATTTGCTGGAGAATCAAAAGGGAGGATGCCTAGGGTCCTACAGTAATCCCCAGTCTTCTTGACAGCCAGCAGGTCCCTCCCAGACCCCTCTGGTCTCAGTTCTGCCCCTTTCAGGATAAATGGGTCCTCCAGATCTGTTCATGCCCCCTAGGGCACCTGTAGCCTTAACAGCTATTTGCATCCTTCAACTTCCCCTACAGCCATGCCTATAGGTATTACTGTTCAGCCATTCTCCCTTCTTGGGGCCTTGGCCTTCCCAGCTTCCACCCCTGTACTCTAGCTGGGCCTTGTAGCCTAGGCCCATGGTTTTGGACCTGGCTTCTGGGCTCCAATCCTGGTCTCACTCACTTTGTTTCTGGGCCCCTCTGGCCCTGACTGGCTTACTTGGCTACAGTCCTTCCATAGGCTATAACCCTATAAGACTCAACCCCAGTCTATGTATCAAAACCCTAGCCCCTGGCAAGGCTCAAGACACACTCTCATGCTCTCAGGACTATTGGGACCTCTGCCAACACCTGATAGTCCCAAATCCAAACTGCTGGTTTCAACGATGACAAAGGACTAATCCCTCTGACTATAACACAACCTCCAAGCCTACTGGCTGTATAATGACTTCTCCCCTGCGCTGGGTCATGTCTCCATGGTAGGAAGCCTTCACCACCTTACTTGTATTCCAAGAGCATGCTAGGGCATTCTCTTACAGCCTCCAGATTATGAGCTCTTCTTTCTGCAGCTTGCAGGGCCAGACAGCCTTTCTGGCTCAGACTCTGGGCTTACGAGTTGCCTTGTTGCCTTGCTACTAGAAGCCCTGGCCCTTCTAGTCAGGTGGTGCCTTGGCCTGCCGCAGGGGTTTCTCCTCAGGGCCTGATGCCTGGTTTCCATGGCAGGTTGTGACTGCTGCTGTAGCAACACCCCACTGCCCAAGCTAGGTTCTGCCCTCCTGTCTTATTGTCTAGCGGCTAACTTTGCAACAGGCGGTCTTAACCAGAGTTCTCCTGTCAAACCTGTGGGTGCAGCCCTTTACTCTAATGAGCAGCTCCCTGCCTAGACAGCAGTGGTTCTCTACTGCTTTCCTTCTTGCATCTGACCTATATTCTGCTGCCTGGGCAATATCAGCTGCAGTTTCTCTCCTTAAAGTGACAGGAGCCCCACGCTCACTGTTACAGACTTATACTGACTCCAGTGCTAACCTCATGTGCAGGATTGAACACATTGTTTACTTTTGTTTGGAATGGAGCTTTAAAAGGTGTAGTTTCAGTATTCTAATATCCAATTAACAGATATCTTTCTAGAAATCCAAAATCTTGTTTGTCTTCTTAGTTCTTGTTTCATTTACAATTCTTCTAATTTGGAGCCAATTTATGTCTCGGTATGCAGGTTCATCCTCTGCATTTGAGATTACTGTTGGCAGCCAAATCACAAGCTACAACACAGATTATGAAGATTATTATGACAAAGCTGAAGATAAAGAGGAGGAAGAAGATGAGTCTGGAGACTATGAAAATTGAAACAAGACCATATAAGAGTTTAGGTACACTGGCTGTCCAATATCCTTGCCATTGAAGTGTATTTACTAGCATAATTTATGCAATAAAAAGTCCCATAATTCCCACATACATACACACCTTTTTGGAATACACTTTTCTCAAGGTGTATTGTGTTGCTTACAAGTAATGATATTTTTCATATATATGTTTACATCTCTAGACTGTTGAATAAAAATCTTAAACTTACCCTTACAGGTACCAGAAAGATAATCTTTTACATTTTAACTTTTAAAAAAGTAAGCTCTAAATTTAGAACATTACAATTTGCTTTTAAAAAAGTTCTGAAATGACAGGAAATCATAACCTAATTATCCATTTTTTTCCATTTCTGCAGTGAATATGTAGGTACCAGGAAAGTGTTCATGCAGTAGCAGACAAAAGTAGCTAAGATTGCAGAATACTTTTTTATGTATATTTTCCACTTCATGCTTACTCATAATGTCTAGAGCAGGGGTGGGCATTTATTTTAGCTGGAGGGCCGCTTAATTAGTTTTGGTGAACTGCTGAGGGCTGCAAGGGTAGCCCCACCCCCTGACAGGTGCCCTGCCCCTAACCCCTGATCTTTGCCACTGGAAGTCCCTCCCCTTGCCCTCAGATGTACTTCTATTCAGAGCGGGGGTTGCCATCTTGGAACCAACCCCCACCCCATCATATATGAAAAATCAAACATCTACTATAACATATTTTAATTTCATTTCAAGAAATATTTTTCTCCTGATTTACAAGTGTTTCGTCGTGTATATAGAGGTGATTGCATAATAGCCCAAAATAAAGTCTTACTCTTGTATATTGAGTGTGGGGTGTGGTTGGCGGGGTGGGTGTAGGGTTTGTAGGGAAGGGTGTGGGTGTGTGGAAGGATGGGGTGGGGTGTGGGGGAAGATGTAGATGTGTGCATGGGTATGGTGGGATGCGTATGTGGCGCACAGCCCCTGCCCCTGGCCATCAACAATAGCAAGTGGTGGCCTTTGTGGTGCTTATGGCCAATGCAGGCAGAGCCAGTTCCGGGACTTGCATGTGGCAGCAGGGAGTGGGGCCATGCTGTCCTGGTTCATCATGCAGGGCTCCCCACTTCTCACATGCAGCTCCCAAGACCCAGCCAGAGCTGAGTGCTATGGGGGGAGTGGGGAGAGGGAGTCCCATGCAATGGAACTGGCAGCTGGGTCCTGCTTCCTGCTGCCACGTGCAGTCCCGGGACTAGGCCAGAAAACAAGGAGCGAGGCTGAGCCAGCTTGGCTCCATTGTGCAGGCTCCCTGCTACTCCAGAGAAGTCCTAGGAGCTTCACATGGTGGTAGGGAGTAGGGAAGTCTGCTGGCTCCATTGTGCAGGACTTCTGCGCAGTGATGCGCAAATGCCAGGAGCTGCACGAGCCATGGGGAGCCCCATGTGATGGAACTGGGCTGACCTGGGCTCTGCACCCCCACTGCCCTGCTGGGCATGGGGGCCCCGCTCCAAGCTCTGTGCTCCCACTGGCCCCAACCCCTCCCCCCCTTCCATCTAGTTGCCGCTTTCCCCTGCTTTCCTACCTGCTGCCCAGAGTGCTGCAGCAGACAGGAGGAACAGCTGGTAGAGGCTGGGGGAGCTGAGCAGCTCTCCATGTGGCTGAAGCAGTCCCACCTGGAGGCTGTGTGCTGGCCAGGGCGGGGTCAGGGCCCAGGGCCTTCTGCACACAGGGATGGGAGCGCAGCACACTGCTGTGGTGGGAGTAGGCGGTGCTCAGCCCCAAGTGGAGCACAGATGGGACAGCTGCAGGCTGGGCTGGACATAATTAACTGGTGGGAATCTGTCCAAAGGCCAAATTAAACTGCCTGGTGGGCTGGATTTAACCTGCGGGCCATATTTTGCTCGCCCCTGATCTAGAGAAATTTTTCATCATTGACATGAAATTTTCCATGTTTTAGTTTCTCTCAAGAATTAGTTGTTTAGTGTGAGGGGTTTTTTTTTTCCGTTTGGTGCACAAAACTATTACACTTTTCCACACTGCATTAAAGAAGTAGGTATCATAATTCAAAGTGCTAAAAGGAACTCTATGACTTTCTGCCCATCTTTTTGAATGCACGTAGTCTCTGGCTCCTTCCAAAACAATTTCTTCCACTCATGTACCTACAGTATTTGCAATTAAGTGCTAGTCTGGATACAGATCCTATTTGTCAAGGGGCACATCTATATGAGATGTGTACTACAGAGTAAGACTAATTAGCTCTGCAGTAAACATTTTGCGTCTACATGTGTGAACCTATTAGGCCCTAGGAAATTAATTAACTGTACAGCAGGGCAGTACTTGTAAATACAAGTACTACTCTGTTGCAAAACTTTTAACTCCACAGCATCTCATGTACAGATGCTGACGGGGCTGCCTGGTGCTTCAGTGTAGGGCTGCCTGCTGACTAGCTCTACACTGGAGCCCCCTCATA